ATAACCATTTCCTCTCAATTTTGATATAAAAAGTAACCTCTTTCTTATGCTAAAATCAAATAAAGTTGTTACTTTCAGACATTACCTTTCTGTTAGTTAAGTGATAGAATCTGGTGGCTTCTCTTGTTTCTCCTTTCATCCCTCATCTGTGAGCTGCCTTTCAGTCTTCCATGCCTCCTCTTACTGGTGACACCTTCACCCCAAGCCCGGCATGTGCTCAGGCTTCCTCTGGCTCCCAAGGGTTCCTCTCTTGGCATTGTTTCTGAGTGACACCTCCCTTCCCAATTTATCTCATGCTCTTACAGCCTAGAGCACCACTAACTCACTCACTCTGTAATTCAAGACTGGATGAGTTGCTTACTTCAGAATGAACTTGCTTTTAATGCCTAAGCCAACACAAATGAAAAGCTTTAGACGGTTTAGCTCTCGGCCTGGGGGAGGTCTTGGGAGTACAGCTTGGTAGTCCCTTCCCTGACTTCCATCACCAAAGAAATGTGGACACATCACACATAACACCATAGGTGTCATCCCCGTAAGGCCTTGTTTGCTGTCCACCTCAACATGATCAGTCACAGCTGGGATGTGGCTCCAGACTTCCAAGCAGGAAGTCGCCCCAGAAATGGCCATGAAGCAGGTTGCAGATTTAAATCTGCATATGTGCAATGGTTTGAAGGCGTCCCTAAAGTTCACGTGTTGGAATCCTACTCCCTGTGCCCTCATGAAGGGATGAATGGATTAATTAGGCTGTCCCTTCATGAGTGAATTAATGCTATAATCAAGTGAGTAAGTGCTTTTGAGAATGAATTAAGTTTCTGCGAGTGAGTCTCTTGAGAGCAGGCTGTTCTAAAAGTGAGTCTGGCTGGCTCTCGTGGTCTTTCTCATGTGCTCTTGCCCTTCTGCCATGTTATAACACAGCACAGAGGTCAGCAGCAGATGTGGCCCCTCCGGCATCGACTTCCTTGGCTCCAGAACTGAGAACTAAATAAGCTTATTTTCTCTATAAATGACCCACTCTGTGGTATTCTGTTATAGCAACAGAAAAGGACTTAGTCAATATAAAAATCTCAGTTTCAGGTACAGTGAAATCACATTCTCAGTGACAGCATTACTTACCAACAACAGAAAACTATCGAGCCAAGTGTAGCCCTCAAATGATTCAATGGTTCCCAGCCAAGGCTCCTGATACTTGGCATGCACAGCAGTGAACCCGATGTCGGCGACGGCAGGATGCGACAGCGCAAAGGGGACGCTGATCCACTGCAACCAAAGAGGGGCGCTGGGGCTTAGGCTGTGGCTTTTCACTGTCTAAGACAGGCAAGACTCGTACACTTGTGAGGGTAAACCCCGTACAGTGAGCTCTCCTCCCCGCCCTCTTCACCCTGTTCCTCTGATCAGGCTGCAGGCCTGGCTGGACCTGGGGAGCCCCCCAAGACCCTTCATTATCTCCTGGAACTGGCTGGTTCTGAGGTAGGCCTCACACCTTCCACAGTAAAGAGCACAAGACTAGAGGCACTAAGTCCAACGCTAAACCCAGCCAGACCCTGCTGATTCTAAGAATTGATAAGCTGATTGGGTATTGAAACCCCTAAGCAATGTATGTCTTTACTTGATTTATGCATGCTTTGTTCTTGGCCTATGAAACCTGAGCCTGTATTTGCTGACAGCACGGCCCACTCTCCACCATTTTCAATGGTTCTTCTCTAGTAAATAAACTCATGTCATTCTCTGCTGGATCTCCAAGTGTGTTCTTTTTTTTTAGAATTATTTTATTTAGCTTTATTTATTCATTCATTTATTTCATTTTTTTTTTTAATTTGACCAGAGAGGGCCAGAGCGAGAGAGAAAGAGAGAGAGGGAAAGTGAGAGAGCAAGCCTCCAGGTCTAGGACTTGAACCGTGGTCAGCCATGTGGGAGTCCAGCTGGCCCTCAAGTGTGTTCTTTAAAGTCAGTAAATATCACGGACAAGCACTCCAAGATGTAGGGATCTCCTGAAACATTTGGCATACTCAGCAGGATTCCAAGGAGCACCCCATTGTAACGTACACAGGAAAAACTGAAAAAGGGGGGACGATGCTGAGAAGAATATTAGGGTGGGCCCCCACCTCAGTCTGGGATGAGATAGCCAGTTGGGGGCCACTGTGTGATTATGGGGATGCCCAAAAACTGCCACCAGACTGTTAAAACTTCTAAGGACAGTTGATAAAAAAAGGAAGCCTTCAAAAAAAATAAAAAAATAAACATAGAAAGAAAAGTCCAGGCTGTTGCAGCCGCAGTCAGCTGAACTGCTCCTTAGTTCTCTGCACTTAGTCACAGGGCAGAGGTCGGCTGCCCGTGCAGAAGCCCAGCACCTGAGAACGGAGCTCCAACTAGAACGGGATTCAAGAGTCACGACACAAGGACTAGAAACCTGCTTAATTGCTGCCTGGCACAGACTACTTAACAGTTTCCACGCCTGGTTTTTTCCCCTTCTTTTACACGGCATGGCTCAATAATCCTAGTTCAGAGCGAGAATATTCTGAAATCACGTTTTCTGGGATTCCACTAATATTGATCTAGAAAAAATAAAATAACACATGCCTACTTGTGTGCCTGATCATGCTGTATTACATAAACTACAGGAACAGTTACCAGAAATGTGAGGGGAGAAAACAGCGCACACGCGCACGCACACACACATACACACAAACTTTTCTTGAATTGGGAAAAGATAGCCACTCATTAAAAGGACAAGGAGAGATGTGATTGAGAATTTGGTGGGTAAAACTGGCCTTTGAGGGTGAGCCCAGTGGTAAGGGATAAAAGAAGGAAGAACTGAAGGACGAGATATTCCGGAGAGAGCAAGGCAGAGAGTAGAAAAGTATATAGTGTGTGTGTGTGTGTGTGTGTGTGTGTGTGCGGACACATGTGTGCCCACGTCTGTAGGGAGATAGGTGTTGCTGGCACTTGAGTGGCTTAAGGGAATGGAAGAGACGAAGCTAGAAAAGTGGGGAGAACCTTGGATTGCAAGCCAGTGGTATCAGTCTCCCTGGATAAAGGGCCGCAGTGCAGCAGAGACAGGGCCTGGAAGACACTAGAACTAAACTAGATTATAAAAAGAGAGTCAATAGCCCCTCAGATTATGAGAAGGAAAAAGAGGTCAGAGAATGAGAAAACTGACAGAGGAATCTCCACTTTATTTACATTGTGGAGTTTCAAGGGTCATGAAATCAACAGAACTCGAAAATGTGAGAAGGGATGATGGCTCAAGGTTTAAGGTGATTAATTAATTATGTGTATAGCAATCAAAGTTTGAAAACACACCATAGTTCGTCTTTTATTCAGTCAATTCAACGGGGCCTTAAGCAATAGAACTTCTCTCCTTAACAATCTAGTTACATTTGGTAGCAGAAAAACACGCAAACACATCTCTCTATAGGAGCTCTACCGTCTTTACACTTGCATGCCTGATTAATGCACCTGGGTATTTTAAGCTCTGGTCTCATGCAAAGCAATAAGAAATCACATATATCATCAAAGCACAGATTCTTCCCCTGGGGTTGTGTTTCTGAGAACATCAAGTGCATCAGTTACGAGAGCTGCCATTGCCAGACTAACCTTGCCTCCGACATTCTGGAGGGAGATTTATTTCTGTGTTCTCTGTTTTGTTTCTGGAAGTTATAAAGATGCTAAGGAAAAATAAGAATTTCGGCACTGTCCACTTGATTTAGACAATTTAAAAATGAAAAGTAAAGAATAAATACACTCAAAATTCAATTTCAGTATGAGTGAATGGACTTTCATGAAATGCAAATAAAATGTCTAGGAGAAAAAGAAATATTATAATCTTTTGCTAACATGAAAAGTCATCGTTATAATATAAATCTAATTGTAGACAGTTCTTTTAAATTTCCCATCAAGATATTATTGGAAATGCTAGAAGGTTAAAAAGAAAGGGGGGTATGAGATTCATTATTTTTCATTTCAAAGTATCTAGTGTAAAAACTAAACCAAGTGAAAAGCTTTTTATTATAAGAAAAATAAACAAAACGGAAAGATTCCTTGGGAAAATGCACCATAGGCTGCAGGTGCTAGCCTGCTCTGTCTGTGCCCACACATGAAGGCACGGCCAGACAGGACCTTTGGCTGAGATGATGCATGCGAACCTGCAGCAGCCCCTTCCGAGCACAGGAGAGACACCTC